GTAACATTTATATTGCCTACCCCTGTGTCTGGCTTAACAAAAGTCATTTAGTATTAAGCAACTTGCTGAATACATAAGGTATTGTATTTATTTTGTTTTAGGTAAAATATACAAACTTAATAATAGATTTTCACAACCTAGAATAGGTGTAAATTAATAAACTCTTATATTCTATTTGCGAATTTTACCACAAAAACTAAAAAGAGAAAAACATACGTACTTGTGTCAATTAATATTTGGCTAACCTTTCTGATAATTGATAATATCCGTATTTTCTTAAACATTAGTATAATAATGCTTGTAAATAAAAACTCCATTTTATTTGTTCTTAGCTTACCATAATGATGCGACTCCAACTATGTTTTATTTCACCCGAGTGAATCGAGTGAATTTGTCCAACTCGATAATCGATAGAAAATAAATTTTACCGAGTTACCGAGTTAACTCGGCGCATCGTATAGATTCAGAGGGTGCTATATAGATATTACTTCACTAATTTACTTGTATATATAATAAGTCGCTGCGGGTGACATCACAAGTTGCATCCAAATTCAAACTTGCATCTGGCATGTTGTAAACAAACCTGAACTTAGTTTTATTTATGATATTGATTTATAGTTTTAATTTCACATATTACTTATTTATAAAGGTAAATATTTAAAAATGGTTTAACTAAAGTAATCGCTACTCTCAACTCTAGTGATAAACTTTTCTGTCAATAGTTTATATATAGTATACAGGATTTACTCAAAAACTAGTGTACAACTAGAATGACATACACACATACTCGTAAATTAACCCGAGTGGCTCGAGTCACAAAACTCTACTCGAATCGCATCTTTATCTTACGGCCAATGCAGTGTTTGTCTACAATTTAGTGATTAAATCGACTTACTAATTCGAGCAATTTATTGATACATTATGTAATAAATAAATTGATATTAGGTAATATGTATATAATGTTGTATCAATTTATGTTATATATAATATAAATTGATTATATATACTTTGGATAGTCAAATTATTAATAAAATTAAGACTTACGTCATAACGTTAGAGTGATATTATTTTATGAAGATGTCGATACGCATACCAAAAATAATATATAACTACCTATTAAGTGTAGTAATAATAATTGTGTTGTATGGAAGAACAATTATTATAAAAATAATTTGTGACATATTGACACAGCTTCGTTCATCTAATTTGAATTGTTTAACTCGAGCTCAAAATCGAGTTACCTGAATTTCAACTCGATTCGATTTTTTCCGAGTTATCACGGCACATCTCTAAGACAATAATTTTTTAAATATTACATTACCTTAGCCAATGATCAGAACACGAATGTCAAAACAACTAATTTTTTTTCAGATTTCTTGTTTCCGTTTACATTTTCGAAAAATCTATAGGCCATTTACTATTATAATTTGGAGTCTTTTTTTGGTGTAAATACCATTAAATGACGTTAATATTTCTAGTGGGCCCAAAAAATGATTGTCTCCAAATAGGTAAAGTGGCTTGATTCCAGGCTATTTTATTTAATCTCAAATTTAGAATGTTTTCTAAAGCAATTTTAAGATTACTATCAATATCTTTTAAAATATCCGAACATTTCCAGACTGGACTTGAGCGTAACAAGTATGTAAATTTAGGTATAAGGAGACAATATTTTAAAATGTTAAGGGCAATATGGGGGTTTAAAATATATATAAATATAATTTATCAACGTGATTTAAAAATTGATCAAATTTTGTTTTTAAAACAGGTTTAATACTATCGAAAAACAACGGAGCACCAAGCAGGTAAAGCGATTCCGAATTGACAGTTTTTATTCCTGGAGAAATCTGATTGAAATTTTGAATTAAGGTATCTCTGTTAGAATTAGATAAATTATTAGAAATAAATATTTCACATTTATTTGTATTTGGTTCAAGACCAATATTTTTAAAATTTTGAAAAATATGAGTAAGATCATTGAGGACGTCATCTGTTTTACCTCCCAGTGTACCGTCGTCCAGATACCAGACATTCAGCTTTGATTTTAAATTTGAAATAATAGGTTGAATTCCCAAACTGAAAAGAGCTGGACCTATAATGGATCACCCTGCTGAACATCGATAGCAGACTCAATAATATGGTTATGATAAAACAAGTTTGAATTTTGACTGTAACATTGCCAAACGTAATGATATATTTCGGGGGTATTGTTAGCTACTTCTTTCAGCAGGGTTATCCTATCAATAGAGTTAAAAGCATTTCTAAGATCAACCTTCAGAAGAACATCTGCATTGAAATTAGTTATGAAAGTACGCAACGAATGTACCGCCGCCTCACAGCCACCTTTGGTGCCAAAGCCTAGTTGAGTAGGTTGAAATTTTGTCTTAGGTTTGAGATTATGTGCCTGCAAGCTAAGTTTGAAGTTAGGCGTCGAAATGTAGAACCAACAGCAATAGGACGGATACCGTTATCCTTTTTTTTGAAGGCACATAATCTTGCCCCATATAAGTAGGGAATGAAATTGGGATTGACATTACTAGAAAGCATAAAATTACATAATTTTGTTATGTCATTAAGAAGTACCCTACCGGCGTTACCGGCACATACGCTTACAAGGTCTTTGAGATGCTGAGGCGTAATCCCGTCAATGCCGCCGGCAGAGCCATTCGAAAATGACAATATTGCGTCTAAAGTGTCTTTTTCGGAAACTTGTAATGGTTGCATAGAAGTATTGGGAGGCAGCGGTAAATTCTGGGAAGGATTGACCGAAGGATGTTTCTGACGAAGGCCTTCAAGAGTTTCGACATTACGAGGAGCGAGGATGTCATCTGAGAATAAAATACGGGATGCATTTTTTAAGTCGCCGTTCATTACTTTTGATTCAACTACTTTTTTTAAATCAAATTTAGGATAAGGTCAAGGGAAATAAGTATTAATCGGGTAATTCAAATTTTGAAAAGAATTTTCTGTTAGTTGAGACGTAATTGATTTATTTATTGTTTTACTAAAATGAAAGTGAGAATACGCGAATGTAAATAATTTTTGCCAACTTTTTTCACAATTCGTTAGACAATTTTGAACAGTTAATGATAATGCTTTAGCAAGTTGCATCCTCGCGCCTCTTGAATTCTTTTAACCACTGGTACGTTACTATACAAATTATATAATTGTTTCGAAAAAGGTGAAGAATTTGTGTCATTAAGTATATTATCAGAAGAGTCATGAATTTCTATGGTAGGCTGTGAAGCCGAAATATTTTTACTATGGCATTGTTTAATGTGTATATGTAATCCCCTTTTACCTTGAAACAGCCTACCATCGCGTCGGTACAATTTTGGCACCATCGGAAATCCGGCTGTGAATATATTGGAGCGATAATATTCATAGAAAATGTAAAAAATTAAAAATGTAAAAATAACTACAGCACTCAAAAGTCTATAATTTAGTAAAAATCAAAATCTTGAAAATTAAAAGAAAAACCTAGTTCTCGAGCTTTGTTTATTGCCTTACAGCAATCTAATATTAATATTGTGTACGATGGATCACCAGGCGTTGCATCTTGAAGTGATCTACAACTATAACCGCTTACGGTTGATGGTTTCAAAGCTTCTTTTGGTGACAATATCAATAAAACGCTCAAGCATCTCAATAAAAACGCGACATTCGTTGTTTTCTTGGGATCAGTAGAAGTGTAGTGAAAAGTGCATTGATTTTGTTATTTTGACGTTGTTCTATTTTCTCATTTAATATTTCTTTAAAGTTGTCCCTGGCATTAATGTTGCAAAATAAAATATATTCTTGGTGTATTCGGCCATCGTTATTTCGTGTCATTACTTCAGGCAAAAGAACTTGTAAATACATCACATATTCATTAATATTGAAATATATTATTTACATAAAACATTATTTTTCGTAATTTCAGGAATAAAATATAAATATATTTTAATTAAAATATTTGGTTAAAATATACGACAGTTGTCACCTGTCACTTTTTTCTTTTATTATTTCAGTTGTTATTTGTTATTTAGTTTATGTTATTTTCTTGCTTGTCGTTAGACGCGACAGAGAGAAACAAATTAGGACATGGGCAGCAGCATGTTCTTGATAGCAACTCAAACTGCGGTTGCCGGTTGACAGCTGTGTCAGAATAGTAGTAATAAGGCAATCTATGATCAATTTTATACGTGGTAGAGCCACGCTGCAGCTATATTATAGTTGTAGCACTAACGGGTCGGCTCAATCGGGACAGAACCACGCTCTCATAAAGTACCAGCGTAAAATAGCAGCGTAATGCTGCTGCGTTTCGTGTGGTGAGTGTAGAGAACCGGGTATTATATGAATATTTTCTAAAATATTCACATCTCGTTCAAAATCTTGTAAAATTATTTCTTTTGTTTTCTCCACTACCATTCTCCAGTCTTCTGTAGTGACTTCTGCAGACGCAATTTGTAGCAGAGTCAACATTTTAGCAGTACTGAAGGTAGTTCAGTATTGTTCCGCGCTGCATAAACTTTATTTGAACTTTTATATAAGCTCGATAGCGTTATAATGACAATGGTAAGCAGGCAATCGGATAACTTCATGTCAATGCTCGATTACATAGCGGGGCTTAGATGGCTTACTTGCTTTTACCAGATTTAGCAACTCAACTTTTAATAAAGTTGGATTTGCTTTCTTACCAGGCATGAGACAATTTCTTGCTTTTTACTTGATTGAGTTGGTGGTTTATCAACTTGTACAGAATGATACGGTGCATTGTCTATAATAATTTTCGATGAATTTTCTAAGATGACTAGCAGCTTTTCAAACCACTCTTTAGAAACCTCAAAGTTCATTTCGTCATGGTAATCACTTTCAGTTTTAGACGCAGCGAATGCGAGTAGGCAGACTGGAATAAAATATTGGGAAGCTAAGCCCGCGTGACATATTCCCGATGAAACTTTTGAGGGGTAGGCCGCTATATCATCGGTCCATGTCCTTGAAACCGTATGGTTTGCATTCAACTATGTTTCGTCAATAAACACGATGACATTTTCTTGACGTAAGAGTGTTACTCTTTTCAAAATAATATCGTAGCGTTCCAGCAGGACTTTCTGCTTGTTAGATTTTTTAAAACTAAACCCAATTGATTTTAAAACCTCAGAGATTATTTACCGGCAACAAATAAGCCTGCCTCTTTTAACGAACCCAGTAGCTTTTTTCGTGTAGGATATTCTTTTCTCGAGTAATAAAAGTAAATGTAGTTGCGAATTATAGCAGCACCAACATTATCAACGCCAACAATTTTCTTGTCCCTCTTTCTTTTTTTTGGTCTACGTAAAGTATTACATTCTAAGCCTGAGGGTCCGTATTTATCTTTGAGAATTAGAGTTACTGTGCCCATCGCTATTCTCAATGCTTAGGCAATGCGTTATCTCTGTTGTGACAACAGTAAAAGAGGCGCATCGCTAACTGATTCACGTTCAAAATAATTGTACAATTTCACCACTTGTTCGTGAGATTGACTGTTTAGCGTATTTTCTTCGTTTCAACTATGTAAAAATGGACAGTTGTTCTTGTTTACTAATCGTTAAGCAATCGGAGTCCAATTTATAGCCAGGTAAACGTCAGAGTAAAATCAGTCCAATAAAAAGCTGGGTCAGAAGAAAATAACAGAGAACACATCATAAATGCATAGTCACTTCTCACAACGACAAAAGACTGCGTTATGTGTGACATGGCGTAATCGATATACAATAGTGTTGCCATGAACATCCCACGAGCTTTTGGCCTAAAATTGTACCTGACCTTAATGATTTTTCTATTTAGTAAAAGAGACATTGTTGGAGGTCAAAACAATATAACCTTTTCGCATCTGTACACTCCTCCTTGTCTTTCTTTTTCATTGCATAAGCTGAATCTGCTTGCATTTGATGGACTTCAAGTTCTTGTTTTAGATTTTCTATATCTGACGGTAAAGCCAATTTAATTTTCATTTTATATGAGTCACACGTATTACAAGTGTCCAACGATGGTTTTTTAAAAGATAAACCCATTGTTTTAAAAACATTGCCAAAAATGAATATGATACAGGATTATTAGTCACCTTTTCCTTATACATGTGATACATTGATGTCAACGAGAGTCCTGATGGTAGATATCGTCTATTTGTGTGAATTGGGCTAAAGTGTGACTCATACAAAGGATACGAATTTATATGGTCTTTTATTGTTTGTACTACATCACTACCAATTTTATTAGATGGAGTAAACGATCCACGTTTATCAGGGCTTGTAATCCCAGATACTCTCTTTGATTGTTTCTTGACAATCACTTCAATGCATTTATTAGAAAGTGCAAACGTTTTTAAAAAACAACACTTGCATACCTCAATCAGCTGGCCATTTACTTTTAAATGATAAGTGTGGTTTATAGTTCGTGGTTTAGGCTCTCCGCCAGTATTACGTATGCGTGTGTTTTTTTTTGGTGTATCGAAAATCAGTGATGATAGATATTCCGAACGCTTATTGTAATTTGCTAATGCCCATAACTCATCAAAAAGTATCGTTTGATTATCTAAACTAATTTTATTACGACACTTTTTTCGGAAATCTGACAAGGCGGTAACTTTTCTAGACGCAATTATTTTTCCTGATTTTGTTTCATAAGATTGGCCTTTGTTTCTTTTAATCTGAATTGTTTTGCGCAAGTTTTGTCCTTTCCGTTTCCTTCTTGTATTTAATACAACATCATTACTAGCATTTTCTTGATACATCCCAATATTTTCAGAAGAGCTTAGGCTGTCTTCAGAGGACGAACTTTCTTCTACCCTTGGATTGAATGTCTTATCACGTGCGCTATCGTCAGAATCAAAGTCAGCTGGCTCGGTTTGCTCCAAATTAAAACTTGGACGAGGAATTTCTCTATCAAGAGCCGATTCAAGTGATTCATTAACTGAAACACGAATAAGAAAAATATTACTCTCTTAACCCTCTTTCCAGTGTCTTTAATAACACGGTCTACAACGTAACTCGGTTACAAACTTAAAAAGGGCATGCTAAGTATAACGCATTAGTGACTTTTATACCTTGGTACCAACAAGGTAACAAATTTGAGCATAAAAAATTACCTACACCCAGATAGTAGGGTGTCACTTACTACCAATATTAAAAAACAGGTACCTACTACACAACGCGTCGTGAAAAGAGTAACCGTTTTTTACATTTTGTTATAAATATAATATACTCACCAAGTGGTGTTGTCATATCATTTCGATCATCATGTGATAATCCTAAATCAGAAAGAGTATTCAAATCTTCTAAACCCTCAGTAGCTCGTATTTGATCTTGGTTAAGCTCACTGCTAACCTCAGATGTATTTAATGATGTACTGATATGATCATCCCTTGAACATCCTTGTAATGCTGTAATTATAATAATTTGCATAGTTTGGAAAATAGGTAAGTATCTAATTAACTGACAAAAACCGCACGGCGCAAGCGGCACAATGCCTATCCACATACCTACTTAAACTATATCTTTTCTAGGTTTCTAAATTAACTAAAATATTTTTATAAAGCGTACAGTTTAAATAGTACCTTATTACCACAAACGAATACTTGGCAGGTATAGAGCGCGGCTGCCGCCGCCCACCGCCGCCGCGGTGCAGTGGTTCGATTTGCCTTTCGCCTGTTTAGGTACCTACCTACTTACAGAAATGTGGATATCGAATCTATATATCTACTAAGATAATCGTAAAAAGGACAAAACACACACACACACACACACACACACACACACACACACACACACACACTCAAATTAATTTATCATCATCAAGCACTTATGCCAGGTTGAGTCTCACAAAAAATGTACTTCGTCTATATTTTTCACGTGCCAAAATTCAAGAATATATAATATATTTTTTGGTAGTTCTTTGTAAATAATCTGATTATTTTCTGTATGGGACATTATTCGCTTGTTAATATTACTCGATTTAAATTTTGAATACTTTTTAATATAAGCAAAAACAAATTGGTACAAAAAGTTGGTGAGATGTAATTTCATAGAAAAATAAAATGTGTCCATGCGTAGTACATTTTCTTTTTCTTCATTACTTCGTCGTTTGAATAAAGTATCGTGATTTCTTAATGTTATGCTAAATGTAATTGCATAAAACTACTGTTCTAATAATAAGTGTAATGAAACTAGTAAAAAAATAATTAAAAAAACGATTGAATAAACAAATGTGTTCCAACTGATTCACGTGTGTTACAAAAACTGTGTTACATAGCAGCTTTTTTGGTAGAAGCAATAGCAACACGTTATCTATTTTTTTCACAATGGGAACACTATAACTTTCAATATGAAACGTCAGTGTTTTGTCAGACATCTTGGTTTACGGGCAGTAGGCAGTACTTGGTGTGTGTTATTTTTCGTCATTGGATTTTAGAAACTTTTGGAAATAATTTTGCAAGGTAAGTAATAACATCAAGTTGTTTTGTAATATATATAGTTGAAAGAGACATAAAATATTTCTAAATAATGCAGTTTATTACGGATTTGCTTTGCAAGTAAAGATGCTACCTGAATTTTAGGTTATGTTCTTCACGAGTGTTTGTTCACGTATGTTGCGTGTGTTACAAAGTTGTGTGACGTAACACACGTGAAAAGTATAAAGCTTAGTTCACATTGCAATACTTAGGTATAGAAAAAGCTAAATATTGATGTTTTGTGTCAAAAAAAGGAGGAGCTTCTCAATTTAACTGATATTTTTTATTTTCTTTTGTATGTATGTTACGCGATTCTCCATTTTCATTCAGATTCTGTAGACCAATTTCAAAAATACTTTTTGGTGAATAGAGAATGCCTTCAGGCTGGTCCCATATAAATTTGTTGTTTAAAGTAGGCTATTTTTGGGTTTTTAAACCAGAAAAAAGTCTAATATACAACAAAAAGTAAAATGTAACTGCATTCATGGTTTTTATTTTATGTTGATTTTACAGATGCCTCTAACACCTAAAGAAAGGCAGAAACTTTATCGAGAACGGCCTAAATCCTGAAAATTTTAAATTGCAGCAAAAACAAAATGCAGAAAGAACAAAAAGAAATAGAAAAAGAATAGCAGAATATCCTTCATGTGATCAAGAAATCATAAGAAAGCAGTGGAGAGAGAGAAATAAGAAAAGTAAGAAAGAACCTAAGCCTTTAGAAGGAGATGGACAAATTTTAACACAGAAGAGAAATTATAATAGGAGGGTCATTTATAGACTGAAAAATGAAAACACAAAGCTAGAAGAGGAATTAAAAAAATATAAAAATCGTTGAAAAAAAATTAGGCAAAGATTAAACCGTTCTATGGAAAAAAATAAAAAGTTACTTGAAATTATTGAGGAGAAAAACCAAATGATTCGTAGCTTTCAAGACAGGTCAAGCCCAATTGCCAAAAAAAGATGAAGCCCTTGAACAAATGACCCCCGTTTCGAAAACGTGCGCATATATTGACCAAAATTTACCTAGTATTCGACCTGAAGAAAGAGAAAGCGTGAAAAAAGTTTTGCTAGAACATAATGTAATAGCGGACACTATAAAAGACAGCTAAAAAAGTAGAAACACTCAAGAAAAACGATTAATTAAAGATGTTTTTACCAAAAGTGATAACATTAATAAATACAGTATGAATCTTAAAGGAAAAATTCGTCACACTAAACAGAAAAATAAAAGCCCATTAATACAGACACAGTTAAGAAACTTTTATGAAAGGGATGATGTGAGTAGGATGACAGCAGGGAAAAACGAAGTAAAGACACAAAAAAAAAACAAAAGAAAACAGAGAAAATATTTGCTTAGCACTCAACATAAATTATATCAGAAATATAAAGAAGGAGGAAAATTATCATTTTAAACTTTCAAAAGGTACAGACCCTTTTATGTATTACCACCAAAAGTCGAGAAACGAGAAACTTGCGCTTGCAAGAGGCACGAAAATTTGCAAATGAAAGCCACGTCATTGAAGTCAATTGGATTAATAGCAACAACAGATCTTGATGAGTTACTGAGTATGGTTGTATGTTCTTCAAAGTCAAAGAAATTTGCTTACGGAGACTGTGATTTTTGCAAAAACAAACGTATTAATTTTTCTATGGGTGAAAAAGATCTAAACTATAATGTTTCATGGGATGAATGGGTTTTGAAATCTCATGAATACAAACCAAAAAAAAATTGTGATGTGACAAAGATTACGAAATAAAAACGTCATAGAAAAAAAAACTGGTTCGCTAAAATGCTCCTAGATGCCTTTCAAGAAGAACTGCAAATTTTCAAAATCCAATCCTACAATATCGTGCATCAGTACAAACAATATCGGCAGTGCATAGAAAATTTAGATGACCGTACTGTCGTTGTACACGTCGATTTTTCGGAAAACTATTCTTGCAAATTAGCCACTGAAACACAAGCCATTACCGAAAAAGGTCATCAATATTTTGCAAAGTTAAGTCCAAACAAAGACCACGGACCAGATGCCATTTGGGCACATCTCTTACCTGTGCTTAATTTGGTCAAGGAGAAATTACCCAAAGTAGACGGGATTCATTTTTATTCAGATGGCCCAACTGTACAATACCGACAGAAGAAAAACTTTTATTATTTCGCAAAACTGACGAAAGAGTTGGGCTTTCCATTTTCCACGTGGAACTTTTACGAAGCGTCACACGGTAAAGGAACCGCTGATGGTGTAGGAGGAGACATTAAAAGAAAATTAGACTCAATTGTCGCTTATGGTTCAAATGTTCCTGACGCTAAAACAGCTTATGAATTTTTACAAGCGTCTGAAACCAAAATACAGCTTTTCTTTATACCTGAAGATGCCATGCTGAACGAATCAGTAGAACTCGTACCAGTACCAAACACGATGAAAATACATCAAATTATTAACAATGTTGACTCAGCTAAATCTATTTCCTACCGTTGTTTAAGTTGCTTCTGCGAAAAGACTAGACCAGGTTTTTGCGACTGTCTCAATCTGAAATCTGCGGACTTGCTAAAGCAAACAGAAATGTTAAGTGAAAAATCTATTCCGTCTAAAACGTTTATAACAGTATTAGCTGACATTAAAAATACTCAAGAAAACAGGTCTTATTTTAATTTGAGACAATATAGACGAATCATTTTAAAACAAATAAACCTCAAAACAGACATTGCTAGCAAAAGTTTGAAAGAAAATTCTCATGAAAGAATGAAGAAATGTTCAAAGAAAAGAAAAATAAAAGACATACACCTTAAAACAAATAAGAAACTTAAAACGGAAGAGGAGAGCAGTACAGACGAAGATATGATGATTTCTGTGCATGATACTTCTGATGAAGAGTATCACATTACAGATGATATCTTATCAGTTGATGATTATCTGGATCATATGTATTATCAATTGAAAGAACAGAAAAACGTTACAAATTTAAGAAAAATATCAAGCACAAGTAAAACAGAGAGAGAGAAAAAATAGAACAATCAAGCCATGAAGATAAAAAAATACATACACTGGAAAAGACATAAGAGAAATAAACATTTTTTCTAATGAAAATCAGGGAGTAGTTAAAATTAATTTAGTTGGACAATCTGTGATTGCTACGACTCTGCAGGATGATGAATATAACTTTGACAATGCAAAAAATGACTTGGAAGTGACATCAAAAATTAATACAGACATATGGAGGCTATCTTTCAAAGACACTGTACTTGTAAGGTATTATCAAAGAACCGCGTTTATTACATAGGATTCTTGGAAGACAGTTTTAAAAAAGAAGAAAATCTTATTTTAATCTGAAAACCATTAAAAAACCGGAGCTAAAGTTTGTAATTCACAAAATAAAAGATGAAGACACTGTAACTGAAGATTTAATAGTTAAGCAGGTTAAAATAACACGAAACACAAAACGACCAAAAGATACTTTTTAGCTGATCCTAGCGATAAGGTTTATTTTGAGTAGAATATTTACAAGTAGGTTGATATAACACACACAATATATATATATATATATATATATATATATATATATATATATATATATATATATATATATATATATTCAAATAATACCAAAATAATACGATTGTGTAATTCTAAGTACAAATTTTGATCTCTTTGTTTTTTCAAGTTGTTTTATTAAATAAATAATTCTATCTATAATCGTATTTTATTTGAAATTCAATTTTTTATTGCTTTACGTGCATCAAGCTTAACAACATTTCCAGTGTGTTACACAATTCTAGTGTGTTATTGTGTGTTACAAGTTCTTGTGTGTTATGGTACATTTTCTGTGAGCCTTACTCGCCAAACAATATAATTACCTATCTTAGCAATTTCAAATTTAGTCGGTTAAAAAGAGAAATCAGCTAAAAAACATAATACTTACGTTCAGTTGTTCCATTTTTTAAGGCCAAAGTAA